CTTAGGGACGTATGGGGCGGTGGCATACCATGGAGAGAGGGTTTCTATTCAACACTCCTTGGACGTGTTTGTCGTTCTTGCTTCTCCACCGCGTCGTATGTTCAAATGACGCAAGGCTGCTCAGTATGTCTGAGAGGGTTGGTAACCCTTGGCGATCTCATGTGATCCTAGGGCATTGCTATGAGGAGGAGCTGCTGCCATTGTTAGCTCCGGCCCCTGTTTTATCAGAGGAGGCGGCGGTATGATTTTCATCCTTTACCTTTTTCTAAGTAGCCCCTAAGTGATATTTTACTGACTTTTGTTTGCTTTGTAAGGCAGGGCCTACTGAGTTCGTGCTCTCTCATATGTCCATCCATTACCAGGGGATATACGGGCCTATTGAGGAGATGATTCCTCTGGCTCCTGAGGATCAGCGCTTTGTGGAGCGACCGATTCTTCGCCAACAGACTCGAGTGAGTTTATTTACTTGCAATTTGTTCATATCTGTCATGCATTGTTACTGACTTTATTTCTTTGACAGTTCTCGCGCGAGGTGGTCACGGCGATGGGATGGTGTATAGATGCCTTTTACAGCCAGCTCGTCCGGATTTGGAATGTAGCTACGTGTCGTCGCGACGACGCTGTTCATGAGGTAGCCTTTGCTCCTTATTTTTGTATTGTTATGCTTCTATTTTGATTGTTTCTGACTTGGTTTCTTCTTGTAGGGTCAGCCCATTCCTTGTCGTACCCGGACGAGACCTGAGGTCCGGAGAGAGCCGGCGAGGTCTAGCTCGAGACGTCACCGTACTGGTTCTGTCGGTCAGGGTGGTCGATCTGAGGCTGCCCGGGCTGAGGAGGTGGAGGGCTCGGGCTCTTCATCTAAGGGCGCATGTGCTGAGTCGGTAGGCCAGGGAGAGGTTAGCTCGGCTCCTAGAGGTGGTGGGATGTACGAGGTCGGCTCGTCATCGCAGCAACCTCAGCCTCTAAGCCTCTACTGGTTCATCAGGGCAACCTTGGGTGGACGGGTCCTGTGCTGAGTTTTCCTCCTCCTTGAGAGACTAGAGCTGGATCTGGTGGAGAGCATACTCCTCGCACAATGCAGTTCTATGATATGATGGGCGTCTTTCATCACCTGCGTCCTCCAGCGCCGCAGTTTGTACCTGTGTTTTTTATTTTGACTTGTATAGAACTTTGCCTAATTGATTAATTTATTAGACATATTTGTATATACATATTATTATATATATATATATTATGACTTTATTTATTTAGCATTTATTTTTCATTTTTATGTGCATGTTTGTGTGTGCAAAGAATTGTGATAATTAATAATTTTGCGCAAAAATTCCGTTATTTTTATTATCGATTGAGGGTATCCTACTTTGTCCCTCAAAAAGAAAAAATGAAAATTAAAAATTGGACTTACAACAAACTTAAAATTAAGTCTGGATAAAATCCGAAAAAGGAAAAAAAAAAAACAAAATTAATATATGAAATTAATTTATAAGGGTATAAGAAGGGATAAAATCGTAAAGCCATTGTTCAGGTTCGAATCAACGCCAAAAAATGCAGTTTTTGAATAGCTCGCTAATAAGACACATCGACGCCACGTGGCGCCACGCGTTTTGCGTTGGCGCCACGCGCTGCTGCTGGCGATTGGCGCCAGACGACAGAATCGTTGTTTGGCGCTGAAAAGCGCTGACTCTGAATCCTTTCCGGATTGAAATGCCGATGTTAGGTATAAATAGCCCCCTGGTAAGCCGAATTTCAGCAGATTAAACATAATTTTAGGTTTTGAAAAAAATAATCATGTCTTTAGTTACTAAGAGTTTTACCAACTTCACACGTGAATGGTGTCGGTCTTTAACTGTTAAAGAGAGAAAAGAACTAGACTTTTTTCATATGGGGGGTATCTATGGTGTTAAGGGGGTAGATCTTGATATATACTTTATTCATACTGCCTTAGAATATTGGGACACAGATACCCATTGTTTTAGACTAGGGTGTGATGAAATTAGCCCTTTACCGGATGAATTCATTACTATCTTAGGCTTCCCTTCATTAGATCTTGCGGTAATCCCTAGAATAAATGAATATTATTATAAAGATTATGAGCGCTTCTTTAATTTAAGAGACAAAGATCTAACAAATATTGTAGATGGTAGCATAGTTAATTTAAAAGAATTTGCACGCCATAACTTTGATAGACCTTATTCTGAATCCTTTCATGTTTATAGAAGAAGGGTTTTTCTTGTTTCCATGCTTAACCAATATCTTCTCACTAGTGGTAGAACTAATGAGGGCCAACCAATTATATCAACTGTTTTGGAGCAAATCGAATCTAGAAGAAATCCAATGCCATTAATTGTTGGAGAGACTATGCTTAGTCTTGATGAAATGAAGAGAAATCTAAAAGCACCTTTTCGGGGTTCTCCAATTTTATTACAGGTAGAAAAATAATATTTTTACTTACAGAAATCAAAAACATATTTTTGTATAGTAATATTAATTTATTTGCATTGAAATTTTGCAGATGTGGCTAATGGAGGACTAGAATTAATTAGTCCTCACGACAATGTTGAAGAATATACTCCAAATTACTTTGTGAGAAGAAAGAAACGCTTCTCTAGGATGGGGTGCCACGAATGGTAAAAAGTCTTTGTCTCTTGCAACTTTGATATCAAGTTGGTCATCCCTTGGTGGAAAATAGAGAAGATGGTTGGTGTCAACAAGAAACCTTTCTGTCGTCTTCCAAGCTTTACCAAGATGACTTTTTATTATCCCTGCAGGGTAAAAAGACAGTACGGCCTACTTCAAACAATTCCTTCTAGGGATCTTCGTTGTCCCTATGAATTCCCTATTTCACAAGAAGTAGAAAAATTTGATGCATATTGGAGCGTTAAACCTTTATGGGAAGTGATTACTCAAAAAGTTCCTCCTTCCCTGCCCAATGATGTAAAGAGGTGGCTTCTCAAGAAACTTCAAAGGACATGAAGAAATATCAGAGTAAAACTTATGTGAAGAGTCTTCTAGGTGACAAGGTAATTCCTGTTAAGGAATGCTGGGTGAAAATATTGAATTCAAAACACCTATGATGCCTAAGAAGAAGAGCCCTACAAAGGATAAAGGGAAAAGAAAAGCTGACACTTCAGAGAAGAAGGTTTGGGTAGAGAAGAAACATGGAGTCCTAGCTAAAGGAGAAACTATTTACGCTAAAATTGAATGTAGGTCCTCTAAAGGATGCCTACTAGCTAAATCCATTGACGATGAAGAAGATGCAGATAAAAATTGGAAGAGAGCAAAGAAAGAGAAGAAAGATTGAAGCATTGCTTAACTTTTAATTTATTAGGCTTAGTTTTAAATTTAAAGTTAATATGTTTTATTAAGCTTTATTTAAATTCCATCAATAATTTTTTTTTCTTTATTTTATTAATGAAAGTTCAACTTTTTGATTAAATCACCTTCTTTAAATTTAATTTATTAAAGCATTAAAAACAGAAAATTTAATTTTCCAGAAATCTTTTCGACTACGGAAGTCGAAAATTTTCCGAAAATACCGAAATATGCCCAGGTACTCCCAGAAGTACGGCGCCGTTACTTTGTGGTTGTTGCCTAGCGCTGCTGTACTTAGGCCGGCGACAGGATTTTTTTTGTGACGCTGACGTTTCTTTGAATTTCTGTCGAATTTCTTTTTATATCTAGGATGCGAGGTTTGCGCCAATTAAATTGGCCGCACCCGTAAAGGGTTTCTTACGTATCCTTTCCTAAGGAATCAGGGCAAACGTAGCTCTCTTGAGTACCCTACTCAAGTAATTATGGGTAGTACTTTTTAAGTTGGTCAAGATTTGTCATGTTTGAGAACTCATTGTCATTCAAATCAGTTAATTTTGCTGCACCTCCTGATAGGATTGTTTTGACAATATAAGGTCCGGACCAATTAGGCCTAAATTTTCCTATTGGATCCAAAACATTTTTTCTTTATGCTTTTAACACCAAGTATCCTACATTGATGTTTCTTGTCTTGACGTTCTTATTAAAATGTCTAGCCATACGAGTTTGATAGCATTGAGTATGATGTAGAGCTTCTAGTCGCTTTTCATCAAGTAGAATTAGCTCTTCATATCTCGTTGTAGTCCATTCGACTTCATCAAGTTTGCTTTCTAGTGCAATGCGTAGAGATGGTATCTCAAGCTCTACAGGTTGTACGCCATCCATTTCATAAACTAAGGAAAATGGCGTATTTCCTTTTGATGTGCGAATTGACGTACGATAACCCCAAAGTGCGAAATGGAGCTTCTTAGGCCAATCCTTGTAATTTTCTCTCATTTTCTCGATGATATGTCTTTAGATTTTTATTAGCTGCTTTAACTGCTCCGTTTACTTGAGGTCATTAAGGAGAAGAATGATGGTGTTGAATGCCTTATTTTTGTAACAATTCTTCACACTCAGCTTGAAAGTGAGTTCCATTGTCACTTATTATTTCATGTGAGACTTCATATAGTTAAATTATATTCCTTTCGATAAAGAGTGCTACATGTTTTGATGTGAGTTTAGCATATGATTGTGCTTCAACCCACTTCGTGAAGTAATCGATTGCTACTAGGATGTATTCATGACCTCCTGTTCCTGGAGGTGTAATTTTACCAATAATATCTATTCCCCATGTAGAGAATGGCCATGGTGAAGTGTAGGTGTAAAATAGAGATGGAGGAACATATTGTAAATTGGCGTAGATTTGGCATTTAGGGCATCTTTTCACACACTAGTGGAAAAAATATCATTCGTAACAGGCTATTTGTAACGGGCAAAGCTTTTCTCGTTACAATTAAGATATTCATAACGGGCAAAATAGTGTTCGTTACGAATACGTATGTATTTGTAACGGACAAATTGGTGCCCATTACGAATAAATAAGTATTCGTAACGGAAAAATTAATGCCCGTTACGAATAAATAAGTATTCGTAACGGACACTATTTTTCCTGTTACGAATACTATATTACACATAAATGCCCAAACTTGGCCCAACTGATGAGAGCAGCCCAACACTTGGCTTTTTAGGGTTTCACCTCTTTCTCTCTCATGAGTCCCTCACTCCCTCTCTTTCTCCTCCCCATCATTCACCTATTTCTCTCATTTCAAACTCAGGCCCTCTCATTTCGAGGAGCAACGAGAAGACCTATGTTCTGTTGGTTGTTGTTTTGGTGGTTAACTTGAGCAACGATTGCGTTTATCTTGAAATGAGCAACTTGACCGGCTGCTTCATACAAAAGCTCTCAAGCGGCGTCATTTTTGGGCGGAGGTGTAACCGGCGGTGACGAAACTCTTGGTGAAGGTCCGTTTGGTCTACCGTTGCTCGAAAACCCACTGCGGTTCGACCATTACAAACCCACCTCTCATCTTCCTCTTTTCAAAATGATTTTCCCTAAAGGTTCGTGCATTTTTCATCTTCTCTTCAAATTATTTCATGTTTTTGAGTTTTTTTTTTGCTCAAATTTACAATTTCATGTTTTTCAAAACTAATGGTTTTTTGATTTTTATTTTAATTCAAATTTCTCCATTGAAATTGTGCCTTTATTAACTACATACAGCACCACAAATTACTGTACTTTTACAACATTTAATTGTTAGTATTTCTTAAAATTATATAGATCTGTGTTTCTGAGCTCACAAATTACTAATGTTTGTTCGAAAAAGGTTTTTTTCAAAAATATATACATATATATTTTAACGTTTTCGTTGATGTTTGTCTTCAATTTTTCACAAGTTAGGTTATTCATTAATTTTATAGATAAATGAGATAATTTGTGAGTAATTTGGGTAAAAATAATTAATTATTGATGGTTAGGGTTTCAAATTTGTCCTTGAACTTCTTTAAATTTCGGTCTTCCCATGCTGAAAAATCATAAACCTAGCTTAATAGTTGACACTAACCGTTTTAATTTGGATTTTGCAGACCTTACTACTCCTTCAATGGTGGACAGAGAATTTCGATGATGGGATGGATTTCCCTTACTTAGACCCGCCATTGATATGCTACTTTGGAGCAGTTCAAAAGGAATTTCTACCAAGTGTGAGAGTTCTAGAGCATTAAATGGACCCTGATATATCTCAGGGTGGAAAATGATGCAATGGAATCCACCTGAAATCGGGCGGGCTCGCGGTGGACCGGTGTTCAATGTGGCGATTTCGCACATTCGGTTAGGAGGCAGGGCACCGGTTATTGGTAAGGTTGGGGATGATGATTTGTTTATATTTACTCAATTTTTAGTTTTTTGGAAAATATTATATAACTAGTTAATTTTCCTTGTTTTGCTGAAAAAATCATTGCTTTGTGTTAAATAGCTTAATTAAGTGAATGTCAATTGTTGTCATTGAGCACTTTTTCTTATTTGTTTGATGAACTTGTGGAATTGTGTGTTTCGGTATATTTTAGCATTCATATTTGATTATATAAGAATTTACCATATACTTGTGTATTATATACACTGTTTAATACTGAAAACATGAAATGCCATTTAAGAGGCTCTCTTCTCATACATTGTTGACCATTTAGTTGGAAGAAATATAAAATTATAGTGATCACAGCAGCTCCTATATACAGTTTGTGAAGGGATGTAAGTTGATGTCGGCTTAGGAGCAACATACAAGTGGAATTTGTCTGTTATTTGGGACTAGAGAAATTTGAATGTTGGCTCAATTGGTTCCTGAAGTGTTAAATTACCCCATTTGGCCCCAAATTATTTGTTAGTGTAAGTAATGCAAGCATATTGATCAAAGTCATATAACTCGTGGAACTAAGGTTTGTTGGAAAGGATAATTTTGTGATCGTCAATTAAGTACTTAGTGCTGTGAATGTGCTTGTTTTAGTCTAAATTTTCTAGAGCTAATCTAGTGAATTTTGGCAGGGAATAGTATGCTTGAAAAGCCTAGTCTTTTCTAGTTGTAAGCTTGTAATTGTGTTTGTTGTGTTGTACATAGATGTAATTTGTGTAATGATATCTAATCTCTGTTCTCCCCTGTATATAGTGTTATTGATCTGATTTCATCTTCATTTTTGCTATTATTTATTGGAGTATGTGAAGTTAGAATTCAGAGAGTGCTAAATTGAAAAATACAACAAATCCAAAACTAAGTCAATCATCAACCTTTCTAATCATATAAAATTCCACGAACTAACTTAATTAAGGTGTATTATTTTTTATTATTGTTTTGAAAAATATCATCATTATTTCCAAAAATAAAGTGCCATTTTGTGCTAATAGCTATATTTTATATTATATAGTCATTAAGAATTTTCTATAACAACATAATATATGGTTGGTGTGAGTTATGTCATTGACTTCAATTGTACATGTTAACATTTACTTAGCCTCCATAATTTGGGAAAACTTTAGAGTACAAATAATTACATGAGTTTTATTATAAATAATACAAGAATTATCACATGTACTAGCAATTATGTGTTGTCATTATCTGTTTATTACTTTAAGTAATTTCAAATGTAACCACAGTTGAGTTAATTGTTTGCATTCAGTTATTGCCTCCAACTTAACTTGTTAAAACTGTTGACTTCGAAAATGCCTAGACATAAATTTATACTTTCAGTGGTTCTAATTTTGGCTGTTACTGCAGCTCAAGAATTGGATTCTGCAAAATTTTCAGAAGTTAGAGATGCTCTAGATGATAAATGCTAGTCCCTTGTAAATATCATTTTAGTCATGTGATACCAATATGCCAATTTCTAAAAAAAAATCCGAAGACTCTCAAACACTCATAATTTACGTAGAGGCTTTGTAACAATGTGGGATACATTTATTTACTTATTTGAACTAATTCTTTTGCATGATGCAAAAATTGAAGGTTTAAAGTCCAGAATTGAATCATTTGTGTTCACTGATACATAAATTGATATGTTCCGGGATGAGATAGAAAAAGAAGAGGCCAGCAAGCTGCAAACAGAAGTTTTAGATGTCACAATCTCTGTGAACGAGTATGAGGCTGCAAATGTTCATAAATGTCAGCCTGCTGTTAGAACTGAGAGTGATCCTGGTGAACAGAATCTTCAGGAAGTTAACGAGAGAGAAGAAAGGGGTGACAATGCTCTTGATTGCTGCCGTTACTACTGGCCTGCTACTGTTTGTGCTTATAATGTATTTCCTTACTAAATTATGTAATCAATAGCATTTTGGACTTCTCAATAGTAGAGTTTATAATTAGCATATAAAATTGGATTTGGTGTATATGTTATGTTTGATAATATGTTTGTGGCATGAAATATTTGGGTTTGTTATAAATTATTATAATAATTTGGGTGGTAAATAGAAAGAAGAATAGGGGTATTTGTAACTAGCACTTGAAATGCCAGTTACAAATGCCCCTAATTTTTTGTCTTATTCGAAGATTATTCGTAACGGGTATTGTAAGCGCCCGTTATGAATATGTACTTATTCCTAACGAGCATAGCAAGTTCCTGTTACGAATAATGGGTTATTCGTAACAGGCGTTTCAAGTGCCCGTTACGAATAATGACTTATTGTATTAAAATAACAGCTTATTCGTAACGGGCACCTGAAACGCCCGTTACAAATAACCCATTATTCATAACGGGCGTTTCAGTTTCCCTTTATGAATAAGTTATTATTTGTAATGGACGGTGCCCGTTATGAATAACAATGGCATCCGTAACAGCTGCATACGTAACGGACGCTGCCCGTTACAAATGGGACCTTTTTGCCCGTTACGGATGGTCTTTTTTCCACTAGTGACATATTGATCACAATCCCTATTCATGGCAGTCCAATAGTATCCTTCTCGCATTATCTTTTGGACTAGCATTTTTCCATTAACATGGGTTCCACAAATACCTTCGTGGACTATCCTCATAGCTCTTTGAGCATCCTTTTTCCCTAAACATAAGAGAGCTCGACCCTTATGTACCCTTATATGCAAGTCGTTGTCTAAAAATACATACTGGGAAGCCAAGAGTCTTAATGTTCGTTTTGCTCTTTTTTCGGCATGAGGAGGTGTAGACAGCTAAAAATGTCTCTCCAAAACCAAGCCCGATGATGAACAACCTTTCACCGCCATTATTGGTCGGGTTGAGTATTTGATCTTGGAGTGCTTAAATCCATGTTTCCATTTCATAAACCAACCCAATTCCTAGACAATTTCCCCAAACCATAACTTATTTTCCTCTTTTCGTGCCTTTAAACCCAAAATAATTCATTTCGTGTCCTTTAAAATCATTCATTTTGTGTCCTTTTTATAAAAACATTCAATCCAGTTTATTTTGGTCCATAATATGGGTCCATTGATTGAATAATTTGATGGGGCTTTAAAAGAGCTTTCCAACGATATATTATACGACCAAATCCGAGTTATAACGAATAAGTTATGGCCAAAATATTAAATTGAGCCCAAATCGAACCTAAGCCCACCTTACCTACGACCCAATGATCATGTAGAAGATCCAAATTATTTAATCCAATTCCTAAACCAATTAGGATTAATTGGAAGCTTCTATAAGTTTCTAAAAGATCCTAATTATCATTTAAAAAGATAAGATTAAAGAGTTTGAAATAGAATAAAACTCCTTTTTTTAAAAGTCCTATATTCGAATTGAAAGACGTTCAAAGATAGACAGATAATATTTTCGTGGCACATATTTTTTATCTAAATTTTACTTGTTGGATAGCCCTTGGAATTATCTTTCCATTGATATATTATAATATCAATTCCGAGGTATAACGGAAGAGATATGAATAAAATATCAAACTTTATCCAAAACTGACACCGTCTCACTATTTCGGCCATATATTTTATTTTATAAAATATTTTAATCTGTTTCTAATTGAGTTAGAAATTAGACTTCAATAGATTTCCAATGATATCTTATTCATCTTGTTCCGATTTCTTGATCAAAAGATATGATAAAAACAAAAACCGCAAAAACTGTTGTCTATCGCAAGAGTTTTAATCCGATTCGAACTCGATCTTTTCTTGATTCTTCGACCCTCTTTTTTCCTTATAAATAGATGTCATATCACCCCTTTTTCAATAATCAACAATCTTGATCATCAAATCATTCTCTCTTCCTCTCTTTTACACCAAAAATCATTCTCTTATTTCTCTCTTATATTCTAAGCCTTAAATCAATATTTCTAACACTACTACAAAAAAGGCCAAAGAGACCCGTCCAAAAGGGCCAAAGAAACTGCTTTAGAGGCGGTCTCTAGCTAAGTGGTCTCTTTGGCTAAGAGACCGCTTTAATAAAAGCGGTCTCTAGAATGAAAATACTAAGACCTCCCATTGCTGAAAGGCGGTCTCTAGAAAGAGAAAACTAAGACCAGTTATTGATGTTAGGCAGTCTTTTTTTGAGACAACTGAGACCGCTTTTCTTACTTCACAGGCCTTTGTTTTTTAAAAAGAGAGACCACTTTTATCACTTCATAGTTCTCTCGGTGTCATTCACAAATAAAAAAAAATAGCTTATTTATTTGATTTCAAAACGTAATTTAAAAATTTTAAATTACAATTCATCAAAATAACCAATTTATTTTTATACATGTATTGTAAAATTACCATCTTAATTATATTGTACATGGTACAGAGTACAAATTATGCGAAACCCAGATAATTATATAAAAAAAAACATTAATCTTCTTCATCGCGAACTTTAACAACCGATTCGTGTAGATCTTCGTCTTTAGCTTCGAATATGAACTGAACGATATGATTATAATAAGCTGCAATTAACATATAAAAGTTAGCTTAACCAAAATAAAATTGTAGATAACAATTACCTCCACCTAAAAAAAACATCCAAATCTAGAATTTCAAAAGAAAACTAAAAAATCCACAATATAGATGACGGAGTACCCTAAAAAAACTACTCTACCCCAATTGAATTGATAAAAATCATTTATAACTTGCGAAAAATAAAAGAAATTAAACAAATTCGCTGAAATGAGTCATCTTTAATTGATGAGATAAATAAAATAAATTTTGAAATGAGATATGGCTTTCACTTTCAATATACTCTTCCGTTTGGTAGTTTGCTAAAAATGTGAAAATTGAGTTTGCTCAAAAAAATAAATTTTCAAACTTCAAAACCAACTCACCAAATAAATTACAGAAGAAAAAATTACCCACAAATCGAAAATCGAAAATCAATTCATTCAGAAAATAATTACAGAAAAGATATAAAAGATGAAGAGGGGGGAGAGAGACAAACCTTTGAACCCAAAGAGAGAGTACTGAATGTTCAGAGCAAGGGAATGACAAGCTGATTGCAAACGCTGCTACCGTGCGACAAGCGATGATATATGCGACGAAGTTGTTGGTGGTAAAGGGGTTGAGATGAGGAGAAAAAATGGATGAAGGAGTGTGAGTGAGAGTAATGGAAGTGCAAAGATAAGAGGTGGTTGCGGAAGAAGTGGAATAGACATAGTGGATATAAGAAGCAAGCTAAGGTTTTTAAGGAGTGGGTTGGGCCGTTGGGGTAAAGGGGATTAAAGATAATGTGATAGAAAAGAAAATAAAAGTGCGTGAAAGCTGGAAAAAAAAAAGCAAGAGACTGCCAAACTTAAATAGGCGGTCTAAGGTGTAAGGTCCAGAGACCGCTTTTTTAAGAAAACTGGTCTCTCCAATTTTATATTAAAATTGAAAAAATCAAGAGAGACCGATTATCTTTGATAAATGGTCTTTCTTAATTTCCACCTCCCTAAGATTGTATCAAAGAGACCAGTTGTTTTTAATATTAGGTCTCTTGAAACAAAGAGACCCGTTATTTAATAAAGCGGTCTCTTATCTTAGGTCTCTTTGGCTATTTTTGTAGTAGTGTAATTACACCATTCTTCCCTTAAGCACTCCAAGGAGTTTATACTTAACCCAAAGTTCTATACTTAAACCAAGGCATGAAAGGTAGAATTAACTGAGGGTTTGGACCAAATCAACTCTACTTTTTATTTAATTTAATTGTTTCAATTTGCTTTATATTTTTATTGAAGTTACTAACAATTTATTCATGATTTAGCAATTTAAAGGAACGCGCGGAATTTGAGTAATTAATTAATTTAATTACTCTTATTTTATTTTCTTATTGCTAGTATCATGATTATGTTATTTTATATTTGATTTGACTCACATTATTATTGTTAAATTGCTTCCAATATTAATGTTTATTCTATTATTATTTATTGATTACCACATTGCATGTTTAAAGGGAATATGTAATTAAAAATCACGCCTAATAAGATAATTTGGACAATCGGTTTAGGTTCCTTTTAATCTTGTTGTTTAATCAAGTGATAACAATATTTTAGAATAATATGTTGCATTAATATTAAACCAATTTAGCCTAATAATAGTTTGGAGCGAATTGAATATTTTGTTTGTATGCCTTTGAGATCGCAGGAATCACTTTTCACTATAAGAATCGAGCAGAGGCCAATACGGGCGAATGTGACTCCATGACTCACTTCGTACTATCATCCCCGATCCTCTTTTCGTGGTTTAGAACCATATGGAGTTTGTTTCGGGGTTTTCTGATGTCCTGCGGGAGAGTTACAATTCCGAGACTGGAACCGGACGCCTGTACCTGCAAAATAACGGAGACTCCTGAGAGCTCCGCCTCCAACGGTCAAGTTAGTACCTGGTTAAGGAGTAATTAATACAGAAATTAAAGTAATAAGGTCTCTCTAGGTGAGAGTATTTAATGTAGGTAATCTGCTTTGCTAGCGAGATCAGCCGGTTATTAGTGTGTTCCGTAATGTTTCTCCTCTGTTCCGTTAATTATTCGGTCCCTTGATTAATGAGGATTAATCGAGTATTTATAGCCTTGGGAAGCGTGCAACTCTCTAGGTTTAAGGTAAACCTAGGGCCGATCGGGCTTCTAGACTGAAATGGGCCTTGATGGCCGGTTGTCCCATTTGGCATGGGTGGACACGTGGCGTGTCTTAAGTGGTCCGTGGAGGACGCGTGGCGGAACCTGGTTGGTCCACTTGTCAAACGGCGCTTGGTGGATAAAAATCCCCTAATCATTTGCCCCTCACAGGTGGCACGCGACTGGTCACGTGTCGCCTGTGACAGGTGTCGCACGGTGACAGGCGACGGCCCGTTACAGGTGTCACCTTGCAGACGGCCGGGAGACTCTCCCGCCCAAATTTGAATTCGGAAGCGACCCTTCGCCTTCTCATTTTGCCTATAAAAGGAAGTGCTGACTTCGGTCATTTTCACATTTGAGAATTTTTGCGAGAACATTCGGACCCCTGAACTTGCTCTGACATTTTCGGACTTTTTCTGCCTACCGCCTGTTCTGACAAGCCGACTGACCCGAACTTTCAGGACTTCATCAACTGTCATCCGTTCAGGTAACTCAGTTCTCTTACTCTTAATTTTCTTTTTATTTTTTGAAATGGCACCATGGAAGCACACGACACGCCCTAAGTTAGTGATCAGCCGGTCACCGGGGACGGCTGAATCTAGGACTAGGAGTGCCGCCTGCCCTTTTCTGGACCCATCTTTGCCCTTTATACAAAGTCCGACTGAATCTGTGTCTATGCAGAACGTGATGGCCAGAACAAAAAAGACTGCTAGAATATCAAACTCAGACGGCTCCTCCCAAAGGGTACTCCTTAGCGAAACATCTGACCAGGCGCCAGATGTGGAACGAGGCGACTGTCAAGCTGACAGTTCTGAGAGAGGGACCAAGGTGTTCCCTTCTCATCTAACCGTGGACATGTCTAATTTACCTTCTGCTCCTTCTAAGGGAGAGGAGGCGGGCCCCTCTAGGAGAGGGGAGGCGTCGTCCTCTTCGGACTCGTCAGGGGACGAGTCCGATTCCAGCTCTTCTGACCATAGTTCTTCTGACCATAGTTCTTCTGACTCAGAAGAAAAACATAACCGCCTACAAGAGGCGAGAAGTTCCCATGCAGTGGAGAAGGGGGATAATTGGGCAGAGCCGTCCGCCTCTTACAGAGAGGAAAACACCCCCTACTACTGCAGGGTGCCCCGGGGCCGGATCGCAACCATGCGAGACAACGTGGCGAGCTTTATTGCTAACCACAAAATGGGCCCGGAGTATTTACTGTTTGTGCCGGATCCAGAAGATACTGTCGTCTGGCCGGCTGGTACCAGCTATGGTGACGGCTGTTTTGGCTGCTATGTGGCGACCATCAAAGCTGGTCTGCGCTTCCCATTACATCCGGCTGTTCAGCGGATTTTAGATGGGTATGATCTGGGGTTATGGCAGTTAGCCCCCAACTCTTGGGTAAACGTACTCGGCTATGTGGCCGGGTGCGAACTGAACGGGGTGGAGCCAAGTTTTGAGGCTTTCGCCCACATGAACTATCTCAGCCGGACCCCTAAGTCGGGAGGTACCGGCTGGTATCAACTAACAAGCCACAGGGGTTACCTCATGACGAGAGGTAAGGCAAACAAATGGAAGGATTGGCGGAACACCTTCCTTATTATCGAGAGTTCAGACACGGAGCTGAACAAACGTTTTAACAAGTGGAACAGGGATCCGCCTCTTCTTGCAGGCGGCCGCAGCATGCCGCCTGTTCCCCCTAAGGCTAAAAGAGAGATCCTAGACAAAGGACTCTTCAAAGTAGAGACTAGGGTGAACTCTACTTCAGGGGTACGAGAGCAAGTACCCCTACACTGCGTCCCGAGCTTCAAGTGGCTCTATGATGAGTACTTCTTGGCCGCCTGTGGCCTCGGCAGTCGGTGCTCTAGAGGTAGCCGGCCTGACGAATACTCTGTTTTCTCACGCCTTGTTTACTTGGGATTTTTACTAACTTTGCTGTTTATTTCTTTCAGCCGACGCCATGAGTAAAATAACAGCATCTAAGACTGCGGCGGCCATGCTGCGGGTTTCGCTAATGAAGCAGTCGTACGCCGACTCCCCCAGCAAGGAGGCACCCTTGGTAAGCTTTGAAAACTCTTCCCCTTTAAGTTGTATTATGCATATACTAACTCTTTTTGTTTTCAGTCTGGCACTCCAAGGGCTTCTTCCTCGCAACAGCCGGACCCCAAGGCCCGGAGAACGACTGTTGCAAGCTCTCCTGGGTCTTCCAGGAAAACAGTGGCGGCTGAGAAGCAGCCGGCCACTTCTTCAAAAACCCAGGCGGGGCCGCCTAGATGTATGGACACTTGCTTGTAAAAACTCACTCTTGCTTCCTTCTTGATTAGGTCTAACTTGTTTTTCCTTCTGCTTAATGCAGCCGGCCCCCAGGGACTTGACTTGGTTGAGGTTGCCAAGTCAATGGTTAAAGTAGTTCCTCCCTCTGACAGGGAGGCGGTCAAGGGTGCCGGCACCCTTGACCTCGATGGAATTTCGGGGATCCTAGCTGAGGTATACCCTTTTGAAGTTCCAGGACGCCTGTTAACCCTTATGATTGGAAACTGACGCCTGTTTTTCTTTGTACTTAGGCCCTGCTCCGAGTCAACAGCCTTCGCAAGCCGATTGATCGGAAAAACAAAGAGGTAAAGGCCGCAAAGGCTATGGCCGCCTCCAGCTGTGATAAAGCAATGTTTCAAATTGCCCAAAATGAAGTACTGACCATTGATCTTCTTTATTATCAGGCGCAGGCGACCGCCGCTGTTCGGGCTCAGCTAGAGGCGGCCCAAAAGAAGGTTGACGAGCTGGAGGGGACCGTCACCAAATTTAAAGCCGAGCTGAAACCCCTTCGCCAGAAAATGCACTCTTACGAAGCCATGGAGAAATCTTTGGCTAACGTAAAAGAACGCCTGGTGAACCAGGAGAAGAGTCTTACCCAAGAGCTCTCGGACAAGGCCGAGCAAGAAAAACAAGAGCTCGTCCGGGAGATGGTGGAAGACTCCGCCCAAATCCAACGCATGACCTGGGAACGACTGTTCCCCAGTGCCGACTTTGCCTCATGGGAAAGAACGTACCGCCAGTGTTCGGAAATATATAATCAACAGATCCTGGCGGCTGCTGAAGAAGAGGCGATGGACGTTGCGTTGGAGGAGGAAGAGCCTGTTGTGGCGCTTGTGCCACTTGGGGGAAAGGCATCAAAAGATGATGCAGCGAAGGCCGAGTCCAGCAAGAAGAGTGCTGACCAGGCGGCTGCTGCTGATACTGAACTGCCCCCTTCTTAAGCTTTAAGTATATTTTTTCTTTTCACGGCCTGCGTGCCGTTTGCTTTGTAATTACCCGGCCAGGGGGCCGGGATTTTGAATATTCTGCTGGTCTTTTATGGCCGGCTCATTTTAATCAAATTTTTTGTTTTTGTTCAAATTTGTCTAAGTATTTGAAATTTGCTCACTAGACAGACTGTTGTGTATGGCCGAACGTTAAGACAGGTACAAATAGTAAGTATGCCGCCTATGCCCCTGGACGACTGGTTGTCTGTTTCCAGGATAGATGATCAGTCGGCCATTTAATCAATCGGTATTCGAACTCTTTATTCAATTTGACCAAGTAAATAGAATTACCAAGTAGCCAAGGAATTTAAGTAGGAAAACAAGCGGCGGGTACCGGTTGTTTCCCTTTATTGCCAATGTTGGCCTCTAATTTGTTATTTGTTAACCTAGCAAGAGTATTGGTTGAGAGCCTTTGTTTATTAAAAACAAGTGGACGACTCGTACCTTTTAGGCTCAGTACTAAGTTTGAGTGACTATTAAGTTAACATAGGAGTTACTTAGTCTTCGTCACAATCTTGATTGAGTAGTAAAGGTATCAGGCGGCG